TATAACAATAAATAAAAATAATAAATAATCTGAATTTATTCTTTTTTGTAATTTAGTACTCAGAAATCGAAAAAAATAATTAATATTTATTACTAAAATCTAAAAAAATCTCTAAATAATGGAATGTTAGTCTAAAAAGTCTTGATGTTCAGCTTGGAAATTAAATTAAAATTTATTTAAGGTAGATATGAATTAGAAATCTTCCCATTCTTTAAGAAGATTTATGAAAGTTCAATTGAATTAGTCTTATTTATTCAAGTCAATAATACAAAGAAACTTTCTAAAGATTTTGGAAAAACCTTGATTTAACCTCTTGATTCAAATGAATTTATAGTATTATCTAACGTTAGAATATATTATTACAAAGGTAGAAGCAATTAATTTTAAATTAGATTCCAAAAGAATAGATAGATTTAAGAGTGATTTTAATGAATTTGAGGGGAAGTAAATGGCACTAAGGAAACCCTATTAAGAAATTCAATTTAAGTTTCTGTTTTTCAAAAATATTGGGTTAGAAATGTGACTAATTTTCTGAAGAGCTTCTTTATCGATGTCAAGGATTGTTAATTTGAGTATTTTACGATTAAGAGATTTAAAATATTAGTTTTTATATTTTAAAATTGAGACTACGTTATAATTGTTGAATATTTATGCCACGAAATTTTTTTCAAAAAAATATTAAAAATTTTTATTTAAATGGAGAAAACTTTTTTGGCAGTGGGTTTAATGATGTTGTTGGGAGCCAGCTTCTTCTTGGATAATACCTTAGAAGTATCTGATGAAACCAATAAAGCAAGTCTTTTCAATAATTGGAAAACAAAGTATAATATATAATATCCAAACAAAATTGATGAGAGATATAGATTATAGGTTTTCATTGAAAACCTTAACTACATCAATGCTTTCAATCAAAGTCCAGAAGAAAAAACATATACTTTAGGATTGAATGAATTTGCTGATTTGAGTAAAGAAGAATTTGCAGAGATTTATTTGAAACTCAGAGTTCCAAATTCAGACAATAAAGATCCTAAAGACAAAAATTTCAAATACACATAAGGAGCAATCGATTGGACTGATGGATCAAAAATTATATACCCTGATGTTAAACACTAAGGAAAATGTGGTTCATGCTGGGCGTTCGCCACAATAGGAGCAATTGAAATGAACTCTCAATTAGTTTACGAAAAATTATATACTTTATCTGAATAAGAACTAATTGATTGTTCAGGACAATATGGAAATTTAGGATGCGATGGTGGTTGGATCGATAAAGCAGTTGAATATGTTGCAATGAGAGGTTTGTCTGACATTAAAGATTATCCATACACGGGTGTGGATGGAGCCTGCAAGTGGAATAGAAGATCATTCATCCATTTTGTATCCACAATTAGAAAAAATAGTTGTGAAGTCTTAGCTTTTAGCGTCTCCTACGATATAATTCCTGTCTATGTTGATGCCACTCTTTGGTAATTTTATAGTAATTTTTTACATTTAATGAATAGAAAATGGAATCTTAACGACATGTGATAAAAATTTGAATCACGCAGTTATTGTTGTTGGTATTTCATCTGATGGAGTTTGGAAGGTCAGAAATTCATGGGGAGCTGCTTGGGGTGAAGCTGGCCACATTAGACTTGCATAAGGTGATACTTGTGGCATTTGCATTGCGCCAGAAAGTGTTGCCCTTCATTGAAAAGTTTAATAATTATACAACAAAAAAATCATTTTATCTTATTGTCTCCAGATTTTCTAAACAAAAACAAACGAATTTATCCAAACTATATTTAGAAAAAGCCAGCTCATTATTTAGAAAATAAATTTTACATCGATATAGCCTGATAATTTTTATATTTTTTATTTATGGTCAATTTACAGAAAAAAATATCTACCTAGCCTGTTTTAGATATCAATAAGCTATCAAATATGACTGAGAAACTAATCTTGATTTTTAAAATGCATTTATTTAATGGGGTAGCAATTCTATAATCGAACTAAAGCAAAGTATTTTGAAGGTGCTAAAAACATATTTTCAAACACTTTATGCTTTTTGCCTGCAATGAAGAAAAATTTCTAATATTAAATATACAGCTAGTTTAATGATGAAAAGTTAAAAAAACATTTTTGACTTAAACAAAGGTTTAGGTAAATTTAAAGATTAAAAAGTATATAGAATATTTAATCTCTAATTTAAATGCACTTTTTATTCTAATTTTGAGGATATGTGATATATGATTTGGTAGCAATAAATCATCTCATCAATGATCTAACTTTTTAAGATATGTAACCAAACCTATTTACTATTCGAATAATTATCATCTAAAGTTGCAATTCAAAAAGAATAAATATTTGAAGCTGTTATTGAAATAGTTATTGATGCATAACTGCCATAACAATTTTACGAATTTTTAAAACATTAAGTTGTATAATCAGATAAATAATGATGTCTCCAATATCCTTCATTTATATTTATTTAATTAGATGTTATTCCTGAGGATGTTTATTTATCAAACATTAAGCATTTTGAATCATTGGAAGTAATTGAATAAAAACATCTGTAAAATTAGGAAATTTGGAAAACAAGATCAACATAAAATTCTCCCAATTAATCTATATAGGCGGTTACTTTTATAATGCGCTACAATTATTTAGAATGATCTTAAATATGACAAGTTATTATTAGACTAAAATGAAACTTTTACAAATTTATATTGAAATTATTGAAACTTGTATTGTATATTTGTTCACCGATTTTGTGTACAATTGCCAGGTTACATAACTATCTGAATTAACGTGATGAAAAAGCTGTTCATTATAACAATTCTTAAAATATAAACTTAGATTAGTGAAAATTTTAGGATGAAGATTTCTAAGAGGTGAAAATATCAAAATCTTGAATAACTTAATTAATTGGTATTTTTAGATCCACACTTTTTGCTTTTTATTCTTGCTTTATTGTTGTGTAAGGCTTTAATTTTCAAACACTAGTTTCTGTTTCCTTCCAAAAATTTGGTAGACATAATTTTTATATTGAGACTTTACTAAAGGCTAAACTTGTGGTACATACTACAAGATTACTTCCAAAATTGCTTGCTTAATTCAAAATTAAAATATACTCAACAAAAGTACTTTATAGGTTTAAGCTTTAATTCAAATATGTTCCTCCTGATTTAATGATATAGCTACTATTTTTCAAATCAAAATATAAACCCCCGCCCCCTTATTTGCAGTATGATTAATAATTAAGCAAGAATATATAAGATACCAGCCCTTTGAGAAGAAATTGAAACACATTTGTTACAACTGTTATTTAGAATATTAGAATTAATCACTTAAAACTCGGCTGAAGATGATTGAATTACTTTTATGCAACCATAATTTAGTTTTTAGTTATAGAAATAATTTAAATCATAAATTGTGAGCTTTTCAATCTTTTAGATATTCACATAATCAAACCATTTGTACAAAAAAAAAAGTACAATTATTTCTTATTATCTTAATTAGATTAAAAATTTACTATTTTAAACAATCTCCTTTAAATTCAAAATATCCATTTTAACAATAATTTTTTATTTCATTTTTGATAATTAATTAAATTTATGTATTTTTCTGACAAGTTTTGCAGATTTTTTCATCAATATTATATGGACAAATGCAAACTTTAACAAGAGCCAGATATATTCTTTGTGATTTAATTGAGCAAGAAATACAATCAAATTTGGCTGGTCCATCTGCACGTTTAACAATTTTAATGCTATAATTTTTATCGACCTTTTATTCACTGTTATAAAGATTAAACTTCTGGATTAAATATTTAAATATTCATTTGGATTTAATTTTATGTTCCAGATTATAATGTGAATTTACACTGTTAAATTATATCACATTAATTCTAAGATTGACGATGAATTAATTTAATCACTTATATAAATTTTATTAACATATCAAAATTGGTCCTTATATTTGTATATTTAAAAATGCCAAACACTCACTAAATTTATTATATCAAACTTTCTATATAATTAGTATTGAATTTTCCTCAAAAATTACAGTTGTTTATGGAAAATATAGTTGTGAGTAGTTATGATTATTTCATTTCCAGCAGGAAAAAGTTTAACTCATAGTTAAAAAGGGATAAATTGAGATCGGATAATAGCCTTGATAATTCTATGCTAATTTGGTTGATTGATAAAATAATTCATCTGATGCTGAAACTACCTTAATAAATTTGAACCGTCCAGAAAAAGCAAAGTTATCAAAGTTATAATTATCCGAAACAAAAATTATTTTATCTAATTATTTCAAATTTACTCCAAGTATCTCAAAATTCTCTTTATTTTAACAATTGCAATTTCTATATGGCTCAAACGATTCCAGTCTATAAATTCTTAGTCTAAATCGAATGACAATAATGAAGATCCAAATAATTTCAATATCATTTTACCTGGAATGTATTAAGTTTTCAGATTTTTTTGATTGTATAAATAAATACTTTCCTCACATTTATGCTTTCAATCTCCACCAAAATTCATAATGATTCTAATATCATTAAACGGATATTTTATATTTAAGCTTGTTTCATGGTGCTTTTATCTAATTATATTTTCATTTACTCAAATCTGTTGATTCTAGAGTTAAAAGTAAAACCAAATAATTTTAGACTCAAAATAATCTATATTTAATTCTAAATGATGCTGTTATCCTTCATTATCTATAAATTATATAGTCATATTTATATTTTCTAAGTTTGATAATCCAAGCAATTATAATAAATTAAGTTCAAACTAAAATTTTTTTTTGTCGTCAACCTTGTGAAAGTGAAAACAATCGATATAAAATAAAGTAATCATTCCAACTTAAAAAATATTAATCAGAGGATTATAATCAGACCATATTGTATACCCATATGAGAATTCATTTGATTCTCAAAATTAAGGTATATCATTTTTTCTCTGATGAAAATTAATGAAATGAATCCATTTCCTTCATCTTAAAAGCTCTCACTTTGTGAAAAAGCGCTAGATTTGAGATAACAAATATCATTTTAATTTATTAATCAATGATATATCGTAGATATATAAACGTTAGTCTTTGCTTTAATTTTAAGAATTCAGAAAATGAATCTAATTTAAACCTAATACATCATTCTATACTGCAAATTCAAAGATTGCTGTAAAATAGAATAATTAAAATTCTGGTTAAAGATTTGATGAATCTTAAAAATTTATCTAGATAATAATTTGAAGAATTATGGGTTTAAATTTAAAAACAAATCAAAATTTTAGATTATTGCCAACCATATTTTCGAATCAGAAAAAAAATGTTTTTTTATCTTTGTTTATCTTTTCAAAGCTTTTAATTTGAATTTATTGAAAAATTGAAACTTTAACAACTATGTATATTTTCTAAATAATTTTTACAATGTTGGATGGGTTAAATATTTATTAGAATCTACTTAAAATTTGTAACTACACATAAAACCCTAGTAGGGATTGAATAATTAAATAGTAATCCAAAAAAATGTTTATTTTTAATCAACTTTAAATTTCTCATAAATTATGAATGCATAGTTTTTGGAGAGATTTATCTATGAAAAAGCTGCCTAATAAACAAACATCTCTGTTTCCTTTCACATTAAGAATTCACAATACTTTATCAGATTTTGAAAATATATTTTTCCAGCTGTATGAGAAAAAATTAAATATCATTTTTTAAATTTGGTTTCAATTCTTATTAGAAATTATGGTAATTTTGCATCACTTCTTTAAAATACAGATATGCATATCTTTAGAATTCTTAGATTCTTCTACTGTTATAATCTGATTCGCCTGCTTATTGATAATAAGAATTCGGCGAGAATGTTGAAATCTATTTGTAATTTAACTAAGTTGACAAATTTCTTTTTTGAACTTAGATAGATTTAAGAGGAGTTTTCATAACAAATTATGTTAGGAAAAGAACAAAATTATATAAAAAGTGGGAAGCATATTGACTTTAGAATCTTGAAAAATCTTTTTAGAAAAACAGATCTTGAATTTTACAGGAATATCAATAAATTAAATACAGATACTTTTCATAAATTACAAAAATACCTATCATTTAATCATTTACAAATAAGTTGCTTAAGTCCTCTACAATTCGCTAATAGATTTTAATAAAATTCCATTAATAAAAACATTAATTAAATCAATATTGATATACCTATTAAACATATAATCATCCATCCTATATTATATTTTTGATGAAAACTCAAAAAACTAGTCAAATCATCAATTGAAATTAATACAGACAATAATATTATGCAAAAAATACAAAAATCTGGGACTGCTGCTTGAATCAATCCAATCTTTGAATCAAATGGATTCTAATACAGCAAAAATGCTTAATTAATAAAACAAGAAAGACAGCAAAATGTAGTCTATAGGATGGGTTTTTCATACAAGACTACTATCGAAACTATGAAAGCGATTTTTCTAATCAAATTAAAGTAGCAATATTTTTTTGCAATTTTATTTTCATAATCTATCCCTTCATATAGAGAAGAATATTTCCTTGAGAAACTAAAATGATTTAATAATAAATAGTGCTTTGAACTAACGAATTCATACAATTAATACATTCCGAAAATGAGTATTAAACTAAAAATTGCTAGAAAATTGTTGAAAGTCACTATTAAATAATCATTTTTTTTTTCACAAATTAGTTGTAAAATGCAGGCCATAAAAATATCTAACAAAAGTAGATTGATTATCGCAATGAGTTTCGATAAAAATGTAAGCTTGTATTTATAGGATTATTTAATTAAAAGCACTATTAGGCTTGGAAGTTTTTAAAGCTTTTCATGTATAGGTTATTTTGGCTATTGTTATTCTTGTGTTTACATATTAGATTCAACGTAACAAATCGTGAAAACAACAATGCCTTTTCTTGTAGCATTCTTGTGGGTAAACTTTTTTTCAAAAATTTTTATAATTGCTAAGGACACAAGGTATATCAAAATATAAAGACTATTAATTTATTTAATTTTATTTAATTATAAATTTGAAAATATTTCTTTAAAATAAGGTTGGAGCTATAGCCAATAGCATAAGGCAACTAAACACCTATATGTTATTAATAAATAATGGATTAATATTTTTTTCGTTAAATTTTGGAGGAGCTTCAAAATAATAAAGGTCAGTTGGTTAATTTAGAGAAATAAATTCAGGAATATTAAAAATATCATCCCATTATAATTTTTAAAAAAATAATTTCACATTTAGAGGGTAATCTACATTAAGAAAATAAAAATTATTAATCCATGTTAATATGTCCAAAATTGTCCAAAAAAAGTTTACTCCTCCAAATAAAATTGTCAATGGACCAATCAATTATAGNTATTATGCAAAAAATACAAAAATCTGGGACTGCTGCTTGAATCAATCCAATCTTTGAATCAAATGGATTCTAATACAGCAAAAATGCTTAATTAATAAAACAAGAAAGACAGCAAAATGTAGTCTATAGGATGGGTTTTTCATACAAGACTACTATCGAAACTATGAAAGCGATTTTTCTAATCAAATTAAAGTAGCAATATTTTTTTGCAATTTTATTTTCATAATCTATCCCTTCATATAGAGAAGAATATTTCCTTGAGAAACTAAAATGATTTAATAATAAATAGTGCTTTGAACTAACGAATTCATACAATTAATACATTCCGAAAATGAGTATTAAACTAAAAATTGCTAGAAAATTGTTGAAAGTCACTATTAAATAATCATTTTTTTTTTCACAAATTAGTTGTAAAATGCAGGCCATAAAAATATCTAACAAAAGTAGATTGATTATCGCAATGAGTTTCGATAAAAATGTAAGCTTGTATTTATAGGATTATTTAATTAAAAGCACTATTAGGCTTGGAAGTTTTTAAAGCTTTTCATGTATAGGTTATTTTGGCTATTGTTATTCTTGTGTTTACATATTAGATTCAACGTAACAAATCGTGAAAACAACAATGCCTTTTCTTGTAGCATTCTTGTGGGTAAACTTTTTTTCAAAAATTTTTATAATTGCTAAGGACACAAGGTATATCAAAATATAAAGACTATTAATTTATTTAATTTTATTTAATTATAAATTTGAAAATATTTCTTTAAAATAAGGTTGGAGCTATAGCCAATAGCATAAGGCAACTAAACACCTATATGTTATTAATAAATAATGGATTAATATTTTTTTCGTTAAATTTTGGAGGAGCTTCAAAATAATAAAGGTCAGTTGGTTAATTTAGAGAAATAAATTCAGGAATATTAAAAATATCATCCCATTATAATTTTTAAAAAAATAATTTCACATTTAGAGGGTAATCTACATTAAGAAAATAAAAATTATTAATCCATGTTAATATGTCCAAAATTGTCCAAAAAAAGTTTACTCCTCCAAATAAAATTGTCAATGGACCAATCAATTATAGTAAAAAGGTTAATTGATTTGAAGTAGAAACAACTGCTTATGCTTAAGCCTTTTAAGCCTGATTATAATAAACCTATTTTCTTGGTATTACGATAATTTCTCTGATATTTTCTTCTTCTAAAAGTCGTGATTAATTTTATGATGTGGGAATTAATATATGAATTAAATTAATCTCTGTTATAGTTTTAAAAAAGTCAAATTAAATTTGGCATTCGTGTAATTAAGTGTTTCTTTCAGATTGTTCAGTAGAATTTATTTAAGCAGTTATTAATGAATAATTAAAATCAGTATTATTAAAATATTCAATAACAATCTTGATTCTAGTGCAAAAATTTTCAAAATTAATCTCACTTTTTAAAAATAAGCAATTAGCAGTACTAGAATTAGAATAGCCATAAGCAATTTATTTTTCTTCTTTTTTATTACAGGTATTTAATACACATTCATAACCTTTTTCAATCTAACATTTTTAATTGCATCCATCTTAATTAAAATTATTTCCGTCATCACATTCCTCCATTTCAGCCATAATACCATCTCCACATATTGTATAACATTTTCTTAAACTAAAATCATTATAATATCCTAATTTATTATCACATCTTCCGCAATTTTCCATCATGCATTCAGTACAATTATTAGGGCTATGTTAGCATTCTATACAATGTTCAGAACATTTTAAACATTCACCAAAACTAATGAAATAACCTTTACTACAATTTAAACAAACAATTTAACTATTCTTAAATTCACAATCTGTACATTCAGACTTACATTAAAAACAAAAGCTCTTTTCATCAAGAGTTTAACATTTATAGCCTTGATCTATTAAGCAATTTGTACATCCATCATTATTTAGGGAGTTGCCATCATCACATTATTCTGCACCTAAGATTAAACCATCTCCACAATCTATAATGCATTCTTAATTAATTTTCTTGTATCCAATTTAGCATTATTCACAACCTCCTTATTGACAAACAACACAATATTAATCACAAGAAAATTAACATTAAAAACAGCCATCATATTGTATTTCATTTCCATCATCGCATTATTCACTTTCTGCTTTGATAGAATCTCCACATTTAGTATAACATTAATTCTTTTATTCATCAATATATAATCCATTTTATTCATTACAATTATTCCAATCAATGCATCTTCCTTTTAATAAATCAAAATAAAAATTTTCCTAACATTATTTACATTGACCATATTAACAATCAATACATTCCTCCTAACATTAAAATTAACATAAACTACAACCATCATAAATAAGATGGTTACCATCATCACATAATTCTTCAACAGTCACTAAATTATCTCCACATATAGGTGTACACGAATTTCCAATAATATCCAAATAATAACCAGTTTTACAAAAAATGCATGAACCTTGAGAGCAAATCTAACAATTTATTGGGCAATTCTTTAAACATTCAAAACCATTACCGTTGCATTATTCAAAACTATCATCTAAATATTAAATTTTAGTGAGTTTTTCATTTTAACAATTGTCTAATTTTTTTAATTTTAATCCATTCTATTTTGTAAATTCAATACAATAATTTTTGCATTTATTATCATTCATTTAACAGTTGGTAAACATTATATTTTATTAATTTCTTTAATAATTTGTTAATGATAGTTCAGCTTCAAAAAAGATTTATTAGTTAGGAGAATTAATAAGATTTGGAAATAAATAAGTAAAATATACAATTTCATTTTGAATTATTGATTATAGTGATTTAATTTCCAAAGATTCTAAACTTATTCTATTCAGATAATTATTGTACTAGTAATCGTAATAAAATGCTTATAGCAGATCATTTTAATACATCTCATCATTAATTTTGACAATAGGAAATGATTGAGAATATAATTCTTAACATCTACCTTCAAAGTTTTGATAACCTTTAGCACATATTAAACAATTTCCCATTATACATATTAGACATTGACTTTCACAACTAAATTAGCATTGATGGCATCCATCTCCAAAAATCATATTTCCATCGTCGCATTACTCAAAAGTTGTTATTAATGAATCCCCACAAATAGTTACACATTCTCGATCAATTAATTTGAATCCAGGTTTACATTATAAGCATCCTTATCCACTAATTAAATCACATAATTAACAAGAATAATCACACTCACATCTGTGTAAATTAATATTGAGTTTGTATTTATTAATACAATGGAAACATTTAGTATTTTTACAATCATCACAAATTGAAGTATTCTAGCATTAAAATAAACAAGTTTTACTGCATCCATCAAAATCGACTAGATTACCATCATCACATTCTTCAGTGAATGGAATATCAATAGCTGATACAATAATACCATCTCCACAAATATTTTTACAATAATTATTTTCAGGAATCAAACCTTCTCTGCATTTAATGCATTTACCATTCTCATAATTACATTCTAAGCAATCATTTTTACAATAGAATTAACAATCTTTGCAATTAGTTGTACTTATAGCATCATCACATTTTTCTTTTCCCTTTATTAATCCATCCCAACATACTTCTTTACAATAATAAGTTGATGAAGAAACATCTAAATACCAACCTGAAGTGGCACATTCATAACAAACTCCATTAATACATTTGGTACATTCAGGTTAACACTAGAATTTACATTAATAACATCCATCAAATTAAATTGAATTTCCATCATCACAAAATTCATCTCCTGTAATTATCATATCACCACAGACACATGAGAGATTTATTCCTTAGCAAGGATTACATATTGATGAAACAGGGCATTCTAAAAATGTATCAAGTGTATGCTAAAAATAAGTATTTGGATTTTAATCACAAGTACCATTAATATTTAGCTAATACCCAACTAAACAAATATCACATTAATTTATTGATGAACATTTTAGACAATTCTAGATACATTTTTAGCATATTTATTCATTATTTAATTCAAAATAACTATCCTAACAAACGCATACATTATTTATTAATGTTCTAAACAAACCTTATTTACATTCTGTACATTTTAAAGAATTTATGCATTGATTACAATTTTAGGGACAATTATTGCATATGTTAGATTCCAAATATTGATTAGAAGCACAAATGCACCCTTATGTTGAATTTGAGAAGGTTTCAACACAGGTTAAACAATTCTAAAAAGATGTACATGTCATGCAGGTTGTTGGACAACTCTAACATCTCAACTAATATTAATCAAAGTATTGGTCATTTAAACATATGGGTACTGATTCTACATAATTTGAATCTAAACAATCTGACTCATTTGAACAAGAGTTGCAATTAGGTTTGCATTAATGAACAGTAAAATAATGCTAATAAAATCCACAATAAGAATAAATTGGCTCATTATTTATGCCTTTACATTCTAATTCTATTGATATGCTATTTTAATTATGCAGTTATTTATGTCGAATAGATATTTCTACTGAAAAACTTGATGTTAATTCCATTTAAATAATTCCATCTAAACTAAATATAAATTATCCATCTTCAGGGAAATTAGGGCCAAAAATAACAATAAAAGAAATGGTTATTGCATGATGAGGATCTTCTATATTTATAATTCTTGAAAACTTTGCTTATGCCCAGATAAAAGGTCCTCCAAATATTCTGAATTGTGATTTCCAAACAGAATAATAAATTCCTTATCCTTTTAAAAAGTTTTGTCCAACTGCATTTAAAAGTGTATACTCTGGGTATGTTTCTATATCTAATTCTAAACCTGTGAATTCTTTAATAATATATTTAGAATCTATTATATAATTACTATATTTACAATTTGTTTCATCATCGTCTTCTTAACAGTGGGTGGTATTAATTTTTTGTTAATAAGAACCTAAACATTAACTACATGTTCCCCATTTTGATTTCAAATATCCAGTTTAACATTAAGCACAATTAAATTTTTCTTCACATCTTAAGCAATTAGATGGACAATAGCCTGAATAAACATAAAGACTTCTTAATCCCCAACCAGCATTTGAATTTCTAAAATATTATATGATTTTACGAATAGTTCCCTATCATCTTAATAACAAAAGTATTTGTTATATCTGCATAGAAATATAAAGTATTATATTAATTATTAGTATAGGAAATGCCATTAAAAACAGTATTTGATCTAGTATCAGTCCAAAATCTAAATAATTTGTCAGTTTTCAAGGTACCTTAATCATCACTATATATTTATCCATAGTAAGTATCATTTATTAAAAATTATATACTACTTAACGGTGGCATTATATTAAAGAGCACTAATTCTACAGTTATTGCTATCATAAATGATCCTTGATTTGATGGCAATGTTAAAACTCTATATATACCTTAATTATTTGTAAATATTCCATAAATATAAAAGCCTTCAAATTGTCTATTTTCAGGTAATACTGTATTTAATTACTCAAAATCATAAATAATTTACCATCTAAATTGTTCTGTAGATTTTGATGATGAAATATAAAGACCAAGTATGGTGGAAACTACATTATAATAATTAATACTTGGATATGGTTCACAAACTCCTTTGACATATTTTTATTAATTAATATGGCAAGTAGGTTTGCAACCCTAATTTTTAACATAATACATAGCTGTGCTTGGACAGGAGTATTCACATGTATTCTAAGAAGTAAGAGTACCATATGAAAAACAAAAAGAACACTAATTATATTTGCTTCCAAAACAAATTCTACAAGTTCCATGACACTATAAGGCTGATACAATTAAATTTTTAATAGAAACTCTTGCAGTTAAGGAATTGATCTCAAATTTATGGTAACCAGAAATAATCGTAGAATTTATTGTAAAATTGATAGTTTAAATGATCGCAACTTAGTTATTGCAAAATCCTTTAGAAATGCTTACCTTTTCAATGTTATTATATATTATATCATTTTAGTAGGATCCAATACTATACTTTACAAAATCTTCATTATTCCATGTGTTAAAAAATATGAGATCGTATGTTATGAAATACATTGAATAGGAACTTGTGGATAAACTATTTTAATGTATTGCTGACTATGATAAAGTATTTAAAGTTATATAGCTTCCTTCTGCTGAACAATTGATATAATTAGCAGGTAAATTTGGATTACCAAATTGACTTATAAATCCATCAGTATCTGTGCTACTAAATTGCTTTACTGAAGTAATATATGATCCTATTCTAATCCATGTGCATCTAAATGGATAAAGGAGTACAAAAATTGTATAGAGAAGCCTAATCATTAATAATATTAATCAAAATTTCTAAAAATCTTCAAAGTAAAAAGTAAAATAATTCACAAAACACAAAACGAATTATTGATAAAAATATGAAAGAAATATATTTTCAGCTACTATAATCTTCGATATAATTGGAACTAAGGCTAAAAATTGAAGACTTTGAAAGAAATTCTTTAAATAAATTTTTATTTTTTTTTTGATGATGATGTCATTCGATATAAGGCCCAAAGTTTAAGGAATGAAAAGAATTATTAAGTTACCAATTGTATAATACCATTATGATTAGTAAATATTATAAAAAATATTTTGAGATAAAAATCCATAAAGTCAACAGCGTAAATGAATAAATTAATGATTAAATATTGAATAAAGCTGCTCAATATCAATATAGATTTTAGTTGGTTGAATCATTTTGGATATTCAAGAAATTTGGAGAAATTTAATTTCTTATAATTAAAAGCTATCCTAATAAAATATTAACTTAAATTTTTATTTCTAGAAAATAAATATCTTCTACTCAACTATTTTTTTATATATTTATATAATTTATCGTAATTATTAAATTTACGGTCGATTTCTAGTATTTATTTTTTGGGATTTTTAGTAATAGCACATTCATATTATGTAAAACTTGTAACTTTGTAATAAACCAAAATGAATATTGAAATTTGAAATACATAGAAGACAACATAAATGGAAATGAAATAGTTTATTTTCACAATAATAATACTTGGATCATAAAATTTCAAAAGGAAAACTGCAATTAGAGCAAGTATGAACTAATTTAATTTTAGTTTCAAATATCTAGAAATATTATTTCAATTAGGCTTATAAGGAAAACAAACCAATAAAAATTTTAATGAAATTCAGGTAATGAGATATAAGGATGGAGATTATTAATTGATAATCAACTATGCCCTTAAGATAAAGAAATTAAAATTATTAATTAGATTAAAAATTAGGATATTTGAAAAGATAAAAGAATTGGGTTGGATGTAATCAAAAGAAAACAGCCTCTTCAAATCCTTATTATATATTAATATAATAATTACAAATTTATTAGAAGAAATAGGAATGAATATTGGATAAAATACTATTTCATGATTTATATGCAATATACTACTGCACATTTAAAAAGAGAGAGTATATAAAAGGATAGTTAGAGAGAGATTCATTAGATATTGAATTGATTTCAAAATAATATAATTTTTTCAGTTTCTAGTATTTTGTCAAAGATGAATAAATTACATTAAGAAAATTAACAATGAATATTGAGGAGGCTAATAAATTTGTTGAAAAGTATAGCTGGGAAATTGGTTAATGGCAATAAACAAATTTTTTAATGTTTTTTTAATATGTCTGTTAAGGTGTGTTAGCAAATTTGTATGATTTAAAATATTAATATAAAAAGATAATTAAATTCATTTCTAATATCTGAATCAGATATATAAATCTTAATTAAAATTTAAAAAATATATAATGGATCGTCTAAACCCATCATCCAAAGATTGCATTGTTCCACTTATTGAAGAAAATTCTCCTTGTATTTGTAATAAATAATATTATATTATTAGAAAGCAACAAACAAGAGATTGACTCCTAATTATTATTACCCTAATTTACATAAATGTTCCATAATCCTGACCTTCTACTTTAAACTGTTCAATTAGAATAGTTGAAGCTACAAGCTTAATTTTACTCTCAGATGAATAATCTACCACTAATTACTGATGAATCAAGAGTGGTTGATTTATTCACTCAACAACTTCTCTAACAATAACTTATGATTAATGCAGCACTTCTTAATCAATTCTAGGTATCATCTTATACTTATGTAGGGCGTTGAAAATGCTAACTAGAGCTAAACAAAGGATTTAGGTGATAATAAAATAAAAAGAAAACATATTAAAAAATCCCATAATCCTCAATTTAATACAGGTATATACTTTCTTTACATTGTTAGGACATTGGAGTGCTTAAGAACATTAGGTTTATTTGAACTTCTTACAATAACACAGGGAAGTAATGGAAAGTTCTGAATTAAAAAAAACTAACAAAATCTTCAAATTAATGTCTGATATAATTAAGAGTCGATCACCTTCTTAGTGTAGATCTCATCATTAAAAATTCAATCCCTATTCCAAATATTTGATTAATGTATTAAATTGTTGTGTATAAATAGAACAACATTGTTCGTAGAAAAATGAAAGAACAATTAAAGGATAATTAATAATAACAGTAATAAATTTCAGAAAATGAAAATAATCAGTAATAATAATCTCAAGAATCTAATTTAAAAGTTGAGTTCTAATAGCAATTACAAGAATCTAAAATAGAACACAAAATAGAACAAAAAATAGAATTCCAGCAATAATTCTAAGAGTCCAATGTTAGAGAAGAATAATAATAAGTCAGTGGTCAGGATTGATTTCTTTATCAATTTTATTTTTTTATTATTTTATTCATTTTATAAAAATATACAATTGATTTAGTGTGTCTAATAATCATATTCTTTTTAGATTTCAATTTAATTCCTTAAAATATATTATCATAAATTAGAGATATTTTATAAAATAATAAAATACTTAATCTAAAATTCAATAATGAGCTAAATAAATTAATATAAGTGAGTGGACATAATAATAATAATCAATTCTCAATATATTGTGGAAGGTTTTACTCATAATTATTGAAAGAAGAACCTATGAAATTAATATCATAATTTTTCTCTTGGATAGAAAAATTTTCTTTTTATGCATAGAGATTTAATTCATCAAAGGAGAGTAAGGAAGAATTGTAGAGTAGAAGCAAAGAATTTTTTTAATTATTTGGAAATCTATTTCTAAGAAATTAAGATGTTAAGTAAATATTAAAGTTAACAAATACAAATTTAAATGATGCAAATATTAACAGTAAAAGAATAGTTTTTATTTATTTAAAATTATATACTATTTAATGATATAAGTCTTATATCTTTAATTTATAAGTTGAAAATATATAAACAAGAATTATATTTACAATTTAAATTAAATTATAAAAGAAAATCAAATATTTATCAATAACAGGAACTAATTTCTAGAGGTTCCTAAAAAAGATAAAGTAGATAGGATTTGTAGAGAAATGGATCAATAATTTTAAGAATGAGTAAGTGTGTTGCATTTGCAAATAAAAATCATTATGAGTAATTCAACTTTTTCTAATTGCCTAAGATAAAGATTTAAAGAAATGAAATAAAATAGTTATTATTATTCAAATTTAATAAAATATAATTTATCAAAAAAATAAACAAATTTCTTCTAATATAATGTCAGATATTGATTAATGGATAGAAACATTAAAAAATGGAGAGAATCTGAAGGAAACAGATGTCAAAATATTATGTAACAAAGCTAAAGATATACTTAATAACGAAGATAATGTCATTAGAGTTGAAGCTCCTGTGACTGTAAAATAAATGATTATATAGATTTGTGGAGATATTCATGGATAATTTTAAGATTTAATGGAATTATTTAAAGTAGGTGGTGATGTTCCAGAGACAAATTACTTATTTTTGGGAGATTTTGTGGATAGAGGATATAATAGTGTAGAGACATTTTTATTATTGTTGGCTTTAAAAGTAAGATATCCAGATTAGATTACATTGTAAAAATAAATATAATGATAGAATTCGAGGAAATCATGAATCTAGATAAATTACTTAAGTATATGGATTCTATGATGAATGTCTAAGAAAGTATAGTACTTTGAATGTTTGGAAGTATTGTACTGAAGTTTTTGATTATTTGGCATTGGCAGCAGTAGTCAATGATAGTATTTTCTGTGTGCATGGTGGTTTAAGTCCTTACATCAAAACAATAGATGAAATTAGAATAATTAATAGAAAGTAGGAAGTACCTCATGAAGGAGTTATGTGTGATTTGATGTGGTCTGATCCTGATGGTTTATTATCATATTTAATTTTGTAGAAATTGAAGGTTGGAGTCAGAGTGCAAGAGGAGCTGGTTTTGTATTTGGTGCTGATGTTGTAAAAGAATTTAATCGTAGAAATGGCATTTCTTTGATTTGTAGAGCACATTAATTAGCTATGGAAGGATTCAAATTGATGTTTGATAATTCTTTAGTCACTGTTTGGTCTGCACCAAATTATTGTTATAGGTTAAATTTCTTTTTATTTTTAGATGTGGTAATGTTGCTTCAATACTTGAATTGGATGAGAATCTTAAGAAATATTATAAGTTATTCGAGGCTGCTCCAACCGAGAGATCAGCGAATTCAAAAAAAACTATCGCAGACTATTTCTTATGATGATTTAATATTAATTTAAATAACATTATGTAAGAAATAATAATTACAACACTGTTGAAATTTAATGAGATTTTAGATGCTTTCTAATAAGTATTTAAGATTCATAATTACAATTGTAATCAGTAAAGAGAGATTCTAGAAAAATGTTTAGAGAAAGAATATATAAGCAGTTGCATCTATATCACTGTTAATAGTAATAATAAATTCTTTCCAAATTATAAGGATTTAGAAGAATTTGATCTTAAATATTCTAGGGATAAGTAATAGCAAGAGAATAATCTGATAGGTTTTAAAAATATATTTGTCTTTAGAATTAATTGAAAATAACGTTCAATATGAAACAAAAGAAGTTAAAAAACAAATAGATTAACTTATTTACACTTAAAGTGAAAAGCTTAATGATTTTAAATCCTATGTATCTGATATATATTTAACCAAAACTGATATCCGTTAATTTAAATCTAATTCTGAAGAGATGATTAATAAATTGCAAGATTAAATTTAATAATTCCAAACTAAATATGCCCTAAAACTTTACACAGAATAACATATTGTATTCAATTCATATTAATCTTTAGATTGACATTAAATAAGCTATTTCATAATTGTAATAAGCTAACACTTTAATTAAATAAGATTCTTAAACTTTACATAAACTTAATAGAGATAATAGATAAATGATTAAATAATAAAATGAATAGTTAACATCAAAAATTGAAACTGTTGAAAAAGATTAATATAAAATTTATGAATTTGAGAAAGAAGTTGAAAAAATGAAGAATATAATTTAAGAATAAAAATAAGGTAAAATAATAAATAATTATTTTTTAGATAATGAAATTATTCAAAATAAAGTAAAATCATTAGCTTAATTATTTTAAGAATTGGAAGTTAATAATTCTAAGGTTGTTAGATTTGAAATACATACAGCATTTAAAAAGATTGATGAAGAATTTGTTTATTTTAAAAATAGACAATAAAGCTTTCAGGATTAATTATAAGTGATAAAGGAGCAATTTACAAAATCTGAAATAAGCTAAACTTAATTTTAAAATTTTGTAAATGAATAATTTGATGTAATATCTGATGAATTAGTTAAAAAGAAATAAATTATTAAATCAATGCTTAAAAATATTGCACTCCTTTAGCAATAGTAAATATATAATCAAATAAATAAGGGAAAAAAATTAAATTTAATCTGATATACCAAATAAGGTGGCTATTTTATTATCAAAAGTTTCATCTCTTGAAAAAACATCCAAAATAAGTTTTGATCAATTAAAAAGAATCATTGATGTAATTTAAGAATTCTGTGAAACTTCTTAAATTCCGTCTGACAATAAAGAAAAAGATCTTACAAATTTAATACTACTTTTAGATAGAAGAATATTAGAATATGGAAAATCAATTTAAGATCAACAAATTCAATCAGTTTAAAACAATACAGTTAAAATTAATACTCCTAGAATTTCAACATCAGTAGATTCACCATTCAAATTAGGTAATTAAAAATAGAAAAAAACTAAATTTAGTAAATTGTTAAATAAGACAGTATATTATGATAGTAGAAGAGATACAATAATTTGAATAATTTAAATTCATATATCATCATGACTTGGTCTATATAAAGATATTCTGGTTTTCTAGAAAATATTATATAATAAATTTACTAATGATTAAATTTATTCTTATTATTATTTGATCAAGCTATCACCAGATTTTATTGCTTAATATTTTTATTGTTTTTCTTACATTAGGAGCTTCATCATTTATTAAATTTTTTCTTGATTCATATTTTTTTATCTTCTCATTTCTTCTTTATTATCTTATGGTAACATTTAATCAATGATAATTGAAATTTAATTCATTTTGTCCTTTGTTTTTTATGTTACTTTTTTATTAGATAACAACAAAGGGGAAGTTGATTTAAAATCAGAAAGAATTGAAATGCATTCTTAAACTGTTGAAATTGTATTTTATTATGAAAATGCTTGATTCTGTGATTTGTATGATTGTGAGAATTAGCTTTTATGTTATATTAAATGAGTTGATTGCCGATGAATACTATTTTTATTTGAATTACTAGGTGATGATTTGAATGTAATAAATGTTTAAGATTGACTTTATTTTGGAGTTCTAATTAGATTGGTTGTTATTTTGATTTCATGTTAAGATTAAAGGCAAGGCTTATCAAATTTGTCAAACTTTATTAGTTTCATTTAATAAGTAAATACTTTAATTTATAATCAGATTCTGAAATAAAATTAATAAAAGATTAAATTATACATAAGATCTTAAAAAATGCATTTTATAAGTTAATTTATTTCACATCTTAAAGATAATATTACTACTGAATTGAATTTATAAAAAAAGAATTCAAGTTTTAACAAATTTAACAACTAATCTTAAAATTTTGACATTTATATTAATTAAATAAAAATATTAAAAGAAGAGAAGAAAATTAAAAACTATAATTGATTAATTTACAAATACCATATAAGAATCTATCAAGATTGATAAATGTTATTTCACTTTTATTATTTTAATTTTTATTATGTTCTTTATTGATAATGAGCTATGTATTCTTTTGCAGGACAATATCTTTATCTTTTTGGAGTATATTCTGTATTCACTAAACTTTTATATTAAGTATCATATTTTGGACTTCTTCCATAATCCATGATTTTATCACTATTTAATTTAGGGTTTTTTTATATTCTAAATGGTTAATATGCTAATTATGTTTATGATTATGAAACAAAAGGTTACCCTGTAGGTAAAGGAGTTCTAAAATATAAATATATAAAAAATTACAATTCTGTTATCATTTTTAAAGAATCACTAGGCTTTTGATATGGTTTATTTGCAAATGAATCTTTATATAAAGATTGAGCTGTGAAAGGTATTTGATCACTTACACTTTAATGAACAGGTCTTTTGAAATGAGCAGTTTCTGGTGGTCCCCAAAATTTGAATTAAGTCTAATTATCACTATAAATACATTACTTTGTAACTACTATTCCCTAAAAAATCTCCTTTATGTTCTTAAGATTCTGGTCTAAGCATTTCTTATACAGGAACTTTAAATTGTTTATATGATGTCTAAATGTAAATAATGAAATTACTTAATGTAAACTTTGTTGATCAATAGGTTTTTAATTACAAAATTGAGTAGAGTAATATGTTTAATTTAATGGTCTAAGAGAATTATATCCAGTTTGTTTATGCAAGAAATCCTTACCATAAACAGTATTTGGAGAAGATGTATAATTCAATTTACAAGTTTTAGAGAAATTACATTTGCATTAACCACATTCACATTTATAACAAGCACAAAAACCTAGAAATTAAATTTAATTCAATAGATTTACCTAATTAATGATGGAAATAATCTGGATTATCATTGATAAGCTTTGGAATGTTAACATTTTAAACATCTGGTAAAATTAGTTTCCAAATTGGATGATCTAAAGGAATATCATCTACATAGTTGAATTATTAATTAATTGGCTAAAAGTCTTCAATTTAATTTTCTTGACTCTTAATTCTTAATAAACTTTCTGATTTTGGAGTTCTAAGTCGAGATACAACTTTCTCTCTTGTTTAAGGTTTTTCTTAGACAGTTTAAGTTCCACTTTTTTATTTTGATTATTATGTATCTGGTCGTGTTGGCATAAGTGACTTACAAGTTTCAATTATTTACTCCTCTACATTAGAGTCTGATTATCTAATGATTCTCGATCCTAAACCAGTTTATTTTCTTAAAACTTAATATTTGACCATTCTTGGTTTATTAATGAAGGATTAACTATTGTTTGATTAGAATGTATATAATTTAGTATTTTCTAAATATGTTAATAAAACTACATCCTTATGAGCTCATTAGATATTTCTATATATATTTTATTAAATTTATTTTTTTCTTTTTTTCATTAATTTTATGTCAAAATATGCTAATTAAATATCTTCCAAAAATTATTACTTAACAAGACATAATTTTTTAATTATTGCATAAGTAAAAATTAATACACATTTGATATCAGTAATAAATAAACTATTCATATTTATATGACCAAATAAATAATCAATGACTAGAAAAAGTAAATCTAATTAAATTATATATATATATTTATTTATTCTTGACTTAAGTCCAAAATATATAAATATAATGATTATATAATCTAAATTACTTAAATAATATTTTCGATATTCAAAATAATATAAATTCTTGAATTTAATCAATCAAAATTGATATGAATAATTTATTAACTAAAAACCAATGAATAATTATCTTGGAAATTAAAAGAAAATTCAATATTTTTACTTGAATCTAATTTAATATGTAAATAAAATAATTGTTCTATAAATATTTAATACGTTAAAATATTCTTTATTAAAAACATATTCATTAACATTTCTCTCCTTTAACCAATAGGAATGGTACTTATCAATAATAATATATATCAAAAACTTATAAAGATTCTTTAAAATCTATAAAAAATTATAGAATACTTTAAACTAAGTTTGAAATGTAACATGTACTACATTCAAACTTAATAACATAAAATTCATCTTTAAGATCATATTAGAATGTTATTATGGGTGTTTCATCTAAAAATATTTAAAGAAATCGAAAAAAGAAATTAATGAACAAAATTTGTATTTCATTTTTATATATTACTTTGAATATTACTCTTAATAATTTTCAATTTCTTAGTATAAAGATTGAAATAAATTAATTTGAAGATATTAAATAAATTAGTATATAAAAACATTGAAAAATGAAAACAAAAGAAATAGAGCAAAACAGCAAAGTCAGTAATACAAAAACTATGCCAAGTGATTCAGGATTACATTTACATAAGAATACACATGCCTAAACTTAGATTATAACCAATAAATCTGCCATTCAGCTATAGAACCAAAGAAGTACTACTCCAGGAAATAGGACATAAATCATTAGAAACGTAATTTCTTTTCTTAAATTATAGTTTTATTTGCCTGTTCATATTTAAAAGGTAAGGGATGAACTTTTAGTATAAAAAATTGTTAATGAGAAGGTAGAGAAATATGAAAATGAAAAGGAATGGTTCTAAGGTAAATTAATTAAGCAACATAAATTTGGTTTTTGCAAATATTACTTAAAAAAACAATATTATTATGAAGGATAATTTTCATGTAGCTTGAAGCATGGAAAAGGTTTAATTATTTATGAAAATGGAGATTATTATGTAAATTATACTATTAACATAAGTAAGGAGAGTTTTTTGCTGATAAAATTCTAGGGGATAACGGTATGTTTAAAGATTTTGAAGATGAATGCAAAAAAAATACAAAACTTGAAAAATAAAAATTAGAATTTCCTAACGGTGCTATATACTAAGGTTAAGTTCTTGATGGGAAAAGACATGGTAAAGGGGTCTATACTTGGAAGGATGGTACTAAATATGAAGGATAATTTGAAAATGATTAATTTAATGGATTTGGAATAATGGAATTTGCAGATAGCAGTAAATTTAAAGGAGAATGGGTAAATGGAGAAATGGAAGGATTTGGACATTTTATATGGCCAAATTCTGAAGAATATAAGGGTTTTTATAAATAAAGCAAAAAAAATGGTTTTGGAGTATTTAAATATAAAAGTGGTATTGTTTATTTTGGAGATTTTCTTAATGGATTGAATCATGGTGATGCAGTGCTTAAGTAAATAAATAGCAAACCCAAAATTTCTAAATGGTAGGATGGTAAATAAATTGAATGAGTTATAAATTGATAATATTTTATTATTTGTAAATGTTAGAATTGCCTTTTAAGAATCTCACACATTTTGAAAATGAGTTCAAAAATGCTTTAAAAGAACTTTAATCTACAGAAAGTACCCTTGAAACTCAAGCTGAAAATAGGAATTCTGTGAACTCAGTTTTTATTTCAGGTTCAACCTTTGAACGAATTAAATCAGGTTCTAAGTCTAAAAGCTTTGCTTATTTTCAATAGAAATAAGTTGAGAAAATCATTTATAAAAGGTTCTTCAATTTAAAATAGCCTTTTGAATAAAATAGTGACTTAATATATTATGGTCAATTTCATAATGAGAAAGCTCATGGTTTTGGTAAATTAGTTTCAAAAAAGTCTTCAATTTTATTTGAAGGACATTTTATCTTTGGATAGATCCATGGTAATGGAAGATTAATTTTGAGTAAAGGAGATGTATTTGAAGGAAGATGGTTTTTTAATAAAATTTTATATGGAACATATTATAACGAATTATTAAAGCCTATAATTGCTATAAAAGAACTATTTATAGACTTTCCCTAAATTCGAAGTTAGAAGAACTATTATGGAAATCTTATAAACAACAAAAGGGAAGGTTTTGGAAGATATTAATGGAATGATGGAACATATTATATTGGAGAATTTGTTGATAATAAAATGTGTGGATTTGGAAAGATGATATATTAAGATGGAAGAAAATACTTAGGATATTGGAAAAATAGTGAAATGGATGGATATGGAGAATTTGAATGGCCTAATGGATAGGGTTATATTGGATAATATAATCGAGATAAAAAACATGGATTAGGTATGATAATTTTAGATGGAAGAGTTGCAATTGGAGAGTTTGAAAATGGTAGATCCTTCTCAAAAAGCAAAGATTATGATTTTTGATGCTTAAATTAATATGATTATAGGATAGTTTGATGTTAAAATTCATATTTGATAAAATAATAAATAACTTATTAAGATGCTTTAATAATATTTATTAAAATGATATTCTTTGATTGATGAGTTTTGTAATAAAATAATTATCATATCTTAATATTTGAAAAATCAGCACTTTTAACAACTTTTTCAGCTGATTCAGCAACTTCTTATTCTCTAATATATTCATTTTTCATATCTTAATATATTTTAGTTTCTTCAGCGTAGCTATCATTTTCAATATTTAATTGGGATTAGAATCTTTATCTATCTGCATCTCTTTAAGCAGAGTATTCAGTTAATTCATTAATTTTAGCTAATTATAATAAGATATATAATATACTTATTGTAGCTTCTAAATCAACTGTGATTTTACTAATTTATTTACCAAATTCAGAAAATTCATGATCTAATTATTCTACTCTTTCCTCAAATTCTTATTAATTTTCAGCTTCTAATGCTGTGGCATCATTAATTGCATCTACAACAGCATTTCTAAATTCATTCAATTTATCTAAGATAGTTCCAACAATATCTTAATTTGAGAAATTTTATTCATTTGCTAATTAAATTAAAGCTTTTATTAATGGTCCATGTTTGCTATGAGCTCTTATTCTTTATTCAATCATATTTAATTGAACATGAATTTTTCTAATATTTGATGATGTAACTTATCCAAGAGATTAGTTTCTTAAACTGTAAAGCAATTCTAATGCTTAATCTGTTGATTCAATAGCTGAATTAAAATCTGCAAGTTGAGCTTCAAATTCTTCTTTTTCATTTTCTCTCTTTAATTAAGCTTCAGCCAATGTCTTTCTAAATAAATGTAATTTAATATTTATACCTATTAGCCTCTTAATACTCTTAAATTTGTTCAATTTTATTTTTAAGATTTTCTCTTCTTGGATAGAGTAAGTTTTCAAGAGTATCTTAAGTTCTTTAATAATCAAGAACAGCCTAATTAATTTCTTATTCTAATGTAGTCACAATTTTATGATGTTCGTTGGTTCTTTATCCAAAATTAAATTCTAAAACATCTAATTCTTCTTGTAAATCAGCAACTAAGTCTTCAATAGCCTAGACTAATTCATCAACTGGTCCTTATGATTATGAATGCAATGCCATCATAGATAACAAAGTTTTTCCCCATTTAGATTTGTGTAAGTCTTCAATATGCTTATGAATTGTTTTTTTATCGAAATGAGCTGCCATACTGAAAGTTAACAATAGTGATATGATGATGATGACCTTCATTAATTTATTATATATTAAAAACGAATTTCCAACATTTAAGGTTTAATTTAATTATATTATTTAAATTAGCTTGAATATAGTATTAAAAGAAAATGATTAAGTTTATAAAAAGCTTAGACTAATTTGGAGTGTCCTTCTAACCAAACATATACTATTCAACATCAGAATATAAAACAGTTTAAGGAGGAGTAATGTCAGTTTTACTTTACGGATTGAGTTTCTCATACCTGATCTATATGATGGTTCAGTGGCAATAAGGACAAATATTACCAAAAGTTACTACCTTATCAAATTATGTACCAGATTACAAATTAGAGCTTAATGAGAGATTTATGTAAATTGAAATGAGAAAATATTCCTATACATCTATCGATCCATTTAATCCGGAGAGTGTGATTCTTTAGCCTGTTATATACTATTTCATTAATGGATAGTCTCCTGATAAAGGATATCCTTAATCCTATGAGAAAAAAATAAATATGTTTAATTTCCATATCATCGAACTTCAAAACCTTACTATTTAGACAAGTAGTGAACTCACTACTGAAAACCCTTAAATTGAGATGATGGTTGTTTTTGGTTAGTGTTTAGATGTATACTTATAGGAAGGATAGAAATGTGCTGATAATAAAACAATTCAAAATTTCTTTGATTAATAAACTAATACTTTAATAGTTAAATAGAGCAAGAAAGAATTCAATACTAATAGTGAAACATTAGACAATATTGATAAAGAATTAGTCATTCCCTTAACAAAAGAAGGTACATTCTATGCTTAAGTAAATACGAAGATATCGTACACATAGGTAGATTAAGGGTTTCTTTTTGAGAGTTTTGATGATTATGAATATATCACTGATTATTAAGTGACAGGTAATTCTATGAATAAAGATTATTTTGGTAAAAAATTAGGTTATGAAACTTATGCTGTTTTTTATTATAAAGTTGATTAAATTCAAACTCTTTCTTAAATAACTTATCCAAAAATAAGTGAAATATTAGCAGATGCTGGATCAATAGCTTCAACTCTTTTATTATTATCTTATATAGTAATTCTAATGAATCAAAGTTATATGTAATTTGAAGCAGTTAATCATATAATATCAATGTATTATCCTGAATTCAAGAATGTTAAAATAATCAAAAATATCTTTGGTAAAATAATTCGAGTTGAAAGTCATGGAAAACTTCTAAACTTAAATTTATTTTTTCCATATTATGAAAAGTTAAAGAGAATTGGAGAAATGAAACTCACTATATCTAATTAAATTTATGAAATATCTAGAATTCAATTCTTACTTTAATCATAGTATTCAAATAAATTTATTTCTAAATTTCATTAAGTTGGCATTCCATTTCCAAATCTCACAATGGAATCAATAGTTATAAAAGAAGATAATTAATCTAAATTAGAAAATAGTATTATTCTACAAGATCAAAACTATAAGTCTAATTAAATAGTAAAATATACTTCAAATAATAGTTGCCCAATGTAGAGAGTTAAGATTATTAGTTAAAAAAAGAAGTAGTTTCAAGAAAAGCAAGTACAATAGTATTGAATGCTGCAAAATAAGATGATAATTAGAATGAATAATCTCGTTAGGTCAAAGATGATGGTTAAAAGACTTAGGAGTTAAATTTAAAAGATGAAGATTTTGAATTATTAACAATGCAAGAAGAATATGTTCTTTTAGAAGATAAGGAAATTAATTCTAAAGATGTTGAATAAATTCAACCACTATAACATGATCCAACAAATGCAGACTTATTTAAGTAGCATTAACCAGAATGAAAAATATTTTATATTAATATATAATATAAAGTAAAAAAAAAATCATTAGTTTAGTTGGTTTATTCAATCATAAAATGAAGATCTAAAAGATCTTAGGGATCTCATTTGTTTGTTATGTATAAATTATCTTTCTGAATTGTTATTGCTTAAAATTATCTTTTCCTATTATTCAAATTATATTTTTCTAGGAGATATAAAATAACTATTTTTATTAATTTTTTTCATTTTTTCTTTTAATAATTCAAATTTCTTTTCATCATCTTCCTTATTCTTTTAATTCTTTATTATTTTTCTATGTTAAAATATTTTTTATAAATCTTCTTTACATCTTTGATTAGAAGTGTTCTTATTTTAATATTAAACGATTTTATTAATGCTATTACTATAAATACTTGGTTCATGTCTTAGAATAGTACTTTTGCTTCTCTAGATCTTACTTTTTTCATCTTCTAAAAAATTTAAACTTTAACTTATTAATTAGTATATAAGTTTCCCTAAAGAATTTTGTTATTGAGGTATTAAATGATAAAGCTTTTTGCACAAAATAATATTTGCATAATCAATTTTCTTTTCAATAATTGTCTCCACCATTTAAGGTAAACTACAGCTCATCAATAATTAAGCCAAAAGCCAATCTTATATTTTTACTCCTTTAACCAACAATATAAAAGCCTAAACACATTAAAATACATCCGTGGCAGGTTTTGCAATCTAAAATTGAATTAAAAAACTATTACAAGAAACTTATTTTTATTCAGTTATCTAACTAATTATCTCAAAGTTTCCTAAGTCATTTACAAGATAAATTATATTATAAAAATTTTATCCAAATAGAAATTCAAGACTTGATTCGTTATTTGAATACAAAATCAATATAAAATAGAAACAATAATTCCAATTAAATCAATCAAATAACTTAAAAATATAAATAAGTTTTTCTATTTTACTTAAATTTAATGCACTAAAATAATCTATAAATATTAATAATCTTGTGATTTTATCTACTTTTAAATATATATTAATATGATGATTAAATGAAAAAAAGCTTATTAGTATTATTAAAATTAAAAATTATAATACTGAATATATCAAAATTTTTTAAATAATACAATAAAAATATTGTAAATCATTATAATTTATTGAAATAAATAATTAAATCAATTATGATTATTGTCATATTATCTTTTTTATAGTTAGTCTATTATTTTTATGCTGATTCTAGTAAATATTGTGAAAGACCTTCTTTATCTTTAAAGTTTTCCCAATTTATTAGTAACTTTTAAAGTATTTATATAGTAATCACATCCCAAAATCCATCTGTGGCTAGAATTAAATATTTAGAGTTTTCATTCAATTATAACTTAGTAATTTCAGGAATAGCAGTTAATCCATGTTCAATATATTTTGGATCACCAAAAGATCTACTCACTGCCAATTCACCATTAATTCTAGCCTAATTTCTATTTAATTGTGTTTATACTTAATGGTCAAAACAAATCCATTGTTATCCATAATTCTTTTTGATTCATCTAATCTATCTGGTTTATGTTCCTAATTTAATTTAGTAATTTAGAAATCTTTATCAATCAATACACAAGCACTATCACCAACATTGATTACAAATAACTCTTTACCTACATTGATAACACATAAAGCAGTTGAACCTCCGTCTTTCATCAATAAATGTTATTATTTAAGAATATCAATATTCATTTAATTAAAACCTTTTTGGAGAAATATAAACTTATGTATACTTTCTAAAATAGCTTATTCAATATCAATATTGAAAAACTTATTATTTTTTAAATGAAAATGCAATTTTTCTCTAAGTAATTTGGCCACATAAGACCCACCATGACCATCAAAGACTCCAAAATAAAATTATTATTATTTTCCATCAAAGTCTGCAATAGCTTAAAACTAATGAGTTATTCTAAGAATTACATACTCTATCTTCCATAGTAATCCTTCCACATCTTTTAGTACTAACTTCTCCATAAGTTATATTATCAATTTTAATTACATCAAAATAATCATAATATTCCCTTGGATAACTTATAAATAGTATACTAGCCATCACTGTCTAAGTAAGGGGATGTTTTTTCTGAAGAACTTGAGCTCTTTAATTCAATTTTTAAGTTATAAGTCTTTTTCATATAGTGAAACCAATTTATCAATAAAATAATATAAAATCAATTAATTTACCTATTCCTTAACTTATAGGTGGATTCTGTTAACTTTACTTTTTTTATGATATTTGGTTCTGGTTCAGGATTTGGATTTTAGCTGGCAAAAGTTGATGATGGTTAATTATTATCAATAAATTTAGAAATAGCTTCTTAATATTCTTCTAATGATATTTTACCATCACTATTCTTATCCATTTCTTATAATAATTGATCCCATTAATTTTCATCTTAAACTTATATTTTCCCATTAAAAATTTTTTTAATTTCATCAATTTCTAAAAATCCATCTCCATTTTGATCTAATAAATGGAATGCTTCTTTAAGTTAATCATGAGAAGCTAATTTTTTCATATCAACAGCAGCTGTCAAGAATTCTGTAAATTCTATATATCCATTTTTATCAGTATCTACTCTATTAAATAAATCTTCCACATCTATATCATCATTACAATGTGCTTTTAATTCTTCCATACTTAATTTTCCATCACCATTCTTATCAAGTTCTTAAAATGTTTATCTTAATTACTTATATTTTTCTAATGTCAAATTTTATTAAATCATAAGGTGAAAAGTAGCTTAAACCATTTTACTTTCACAACAAAATCTGGATAATTTTTAAAGTCTATATTACATTTCATTAGATGATATTTCTTTAGTAACTGATTTACTTTACTTTTAAATCCATTCACTTTCTAATGCCTACAATGCACTATATCTTTTAATAGGATCAGTCTCTAATAATTTTTTTAATAAATTCTTAGCATCTTCTGAAATTGTCTTCCAAACTTTCTATTTCAAATTAATTTTAGATTAAACAATCTTCTTTTCTATTTCTCCTGTATTATCTCCTGGAAATGGAACTTCACCAGATAGTAGAATGTATAAAATCACACCACAAGACCATAAATCACATTTTTAATCATATTCTTTTTCTAAGAGAACTTCTGGAGCTGCATAATCAATAGTTCCTATTTTCTATTTTATTGAAACAAGATTTGTCATATCTTTACTTAATCCCCAATCTATAATTTTTATATGTTAATCTGTAGGATCAATAAGTATATTTTCAGGCTTGATATCACGATGCATAATATTTTTATCATGTGCATATGCTATAGCACTTAAAATCTACTTAAAAATATATCTGACTTCTTCTTCAGAAAAGATTTAATGTTATTTAATTCTTTTGTGAATTTCATCAAATAATTCAATACCTTCACATAGCTGACTTACAATATAATAATAATTTTCATCTTAAGCTATTTCATAAACAGCCATAATATTTGGATGATCAAGCTTTTTCATATTCTCAATTTCATTTTAATCTGTGAAATCCTTTTTAGCAATTATTTTCAAAGCTCTTAATTCATTTGCTTAATTTCTTACTTTGTATACTTTTCCAAAACTTCCTTATCCTATTAGACTAATCCTTTGATATCTCTTCATGATATCATTTTTTATGTTGACAATCAGATTTCCTGAATTAACTAACATAAATTTATTAATGGCCTAATTGACTCATATAAGTTCAATTTTGAAAATGGGAATTGTAGGTATAGCTAATGTTGGTAAGGTAAATAATTCAATTTTAACAAGATTTCAAAATTCAATATGCTCACTAAATAATCTGTACCAGTACAAAACTTCCCATTTTGAATAATTGATCCAAATAAAGCAGTATTTAATGTTCCATATCCTAGATTTTATTATTTATGTTAAATCTTCACACCTAAATCATAGATCTTCTCTACTTTAAGTATTATTGATATTTTAGGGTATTAATCAGAATGAGTAGATGAATTTAGCAAAAAAATTATAAATTATGAAGCTAATAAGAATGTTTAAATTGAAGCAAGAGAAATGATAGATATAATTTATTAGGCTTGATTAGATCTTTAAATATTGGTTCATTTGAAGTTAGAAGATGATCTGGAAAGAAAAATATTAAAGCACATTAAGCAGCTGCTATAATTCATTCAGATTTTGAAAAAGAGCTATCATTTATAAACAAAGGAATTTGTGGTTGCAGAGATTACATCTTTTGATAAATTAAGAAAATTAGGGGATAATTCTTTAGATATCTATGATAAGAAATTTTCAAATGAATGAAAGGATTATATTGTTAAAGATGGTGATATTTATTATTATTAATTTTAGAATATATAATAGTCTTATATCTTATATTGTTGAACTATATATATATCAAATAAAGTCTAACTTTTATTATTGCTACTATGCTTATGGTTTTTATCCTACTGCCAAATTAAGTATATTATCAAATTCATTTTCTGGTTTCTTTTATTGTGCAGATATGTCTAAAATATATATATTAACTAATTTTACTGCTAATAACTGGATATTATTACTAAGGGAATCCTTATTATTGATATGGTTAAGTTTATTAGTATGGAATAGGTTAAGTTGGTTACTATTAAAATGCTTAGTACTTTATTTGTTGTTATCCAAACTATTATTGTTGATATAATTATTGTAACTTTAAATAAAATAAAATTAATACATTTTATTATGGGGGATATTATTATTAAGGTGGATATTATTATTATTATTAAGGAGGATATTATTATTATTATTAAGGTAGATATTATTATTATTATTAAGGAGGAAATGCGTTCAATGCAGAATAATTAGATTGTTATGGAATTTATGAAATAGGAGGTTATCCATAAAGTTAAGATTATTGTATTGGTTGTTATCCAAACTATTACATAGGTGGAATTTATGATATTGGTGGAAGTTATGATATTTGTGGAACTTAGGTTGAAACTTATGATTATTATTATTAAGTTATTATTGATGTCAATTATGGTTATTATGGTTATGGATTTGACATATCGACATCAAACAAATCGATTCTTTAAATGCTATTAATATCAAAGATTACGTATTTTATTATTTTTCAGGTTAAATTGCTTATGTTGGTTATGGACCTTTTTATTATGCTGCTGGTACTGGATCATATTCAAATAAATTTAACAAATCGATTTATTGAGGTTTTGGTTGTGGAGGTTGTTGAATTGGTTACTAGTTGGGAGGAGGAATACTAAAAGGATTCTATTATTATTGGAAGGGACCTTGTTGTATGGTTTATGGTTGAGCTAGTGTTTATTGAGGCACTTATTATTATTATTGTTATTATGCTTATTCAGGTCTGAAAGGATCAGGTTTCTTATGTTTTTTTAACACTTCATATCGAGTAAAAGTCTAAATCAGTTATAAACAAGATTACTCTAAGTAAATCATCATTCAATTCTAAGCAAAAGTTCATCAACCCTTCATCATTGTTTCCCATATCAGTAATTAAACTAGTTTGAAATTAGCTTATTACTTTCTTAGTTTTTCTTCAACTCCTCTCAAAGTTGTTGTCATATCTTTGAGGATTTCGTTTTTACTTGCATCTTCTTATGGATTAGCATTATCAATGATTTCCTAGAATTTAGTTTTTTGATTACATTGGTCAAAGTGATATTTGATTTAACAATTTCTAGATCACGTCGAAGTTTATCATTTTTGGAGTTGCCCTTTATAGATTATATAGAAATTGTTACAGATCCTAAACTGTTTACTCTTGCTCCTGTAGAGTATGTTGGTTGTGCCTTTCTAAGTACTGCATATTTGCTTTCGTAATTGTTGGGTAATTGATCTAAAAAGCAGATGCTAGAAGACAGTTACGTTTAAGAGAGATCTTTTGCAAAAATTGGAAGAAGGCAGGAAATAGATCCTGGTGTGATTGCATAAGTGTCTTAAGTACTGCGATCACTTAAAGTAATCTTTATTGCATCTAATTGGGTAAATGAGAGAATTACTTGGGCATTCATTTATGGGTTGAGGAGGGTATTGAGTCTTTATAGAAAGTCATTGGTAGCAATCTAAGTGTAGAAAGGTGTTTCGCAAGTGAATGCAAGATATTCAATAAGCTCCATAGTGAGGGCTTGCACCTTACCATTACGAAGCTACATGAGTCTCTTGCCTATTGCCTAGACTGCAAATTTTGATCTATGGTTTGAATTAGAAACTTACTAATCAGCTCTTTAGTTGACAAGGTCAGCTACCTATTTCATTAATTTCTAATCTGGCATTTAGAGTGTATCTGCAGTTGCCTCATTGACTGCTCTCTCAACAGGATTCTCCATTTTTTTTTTTAATTTAAATTTTACAAAATAATAAAATGAGGGGGGTATAGAAGGAAGAAGTGTGAAGGAGAATAGTAAAAGAGAGATATTTTATATTTATATAAATTTTTATATAAAAATGGCATAAATTTCATAAAAGCAAAGAGGTGTCTTCTCTGAAGTGTTAGACCCTACTTTACCTAGTGAATACAATGTCAAGAATTATAATCAGGGTCCATCACCTGATTTAATTATGACAACTATAAGTCGATAAACAATTCCTAAAGCAATCTCCTTGCAACGGTTACAAACATCAGGCTCTAGTAGATAACAATTACGCTCTGATTTAGCATCAAGATAAGTACCAAGGAATCAGTTGAAGACAAGATAAAAAAATGAACAAGTTACAAGTGTAGAACCAAAAGTAAATTATTTTGTGGCATTATTAGGTGATATTACCATATGATCCTATTCCTGGTGAAGTACCTAGGAAAGTGGCTATAGATAGAAAAAGAAAGGAGTTTAGATCTCTTGATTTTAATCGATTGCTTTAAGAAGCTGGAATTGATTTTAAATAAAAGGATTAAAGTGTAGAGTGGTTAAAACTTGAATATTTTGATGATACTACATATGATGATAATAGTAATGAGGATTGGATAAGAAGAGAAGAGGATGAAGAAGGAATTAAACATCCACTATTAGGTTTGGGATTAAGAGGAGATGAATATTAATATTTAGAAATTTTAGAATATAAATCTGAGAAATTTATAGGCAAATGGTTGAAAGATGATGTTAGATTAGAATTACATAGATTATATATTTGTTTTGATGCAGAAGATCCACGTAAGTATGTTAAGAGATTAAATAATGCATTTTAATAAAGGATTTATGCTGATGCTCTTGTTAGATATAATTATTTCATAGATAATATGTCATTATTTGATTTAAGTGAATTAGACAATGAATAAAAGAAAAGAATAGAATAGAATGCAAAGACAAAGAAGTTAGAAGCTATGGAAACAACTTAATTACTTCTTGAAGTTAATATGGATTTCTAGAGAACTATGAATAAAATCATATTTGATAAATATTTAGATGATGAACAATTAGATGAAAACTATCCAAAATTGAGATTGCCTGCAAAAGAAAAAAAGAAAGAAATTCGTTATTATGGTTGGATGGAACTTGAAGCATCTAAAGGAGTTATGGAAAAATGGATGTTCAAATATGATGAACCATTTATTAGAAAACCTTTGACTTTTGATGAATTAAATAAGAATTTTGGATTTTCTACCTTATATGTGAGTTAAGAAGTAGTTAAGGCTTTGTAAGATATAAGACATGAATGCAATTAAGTATTAAAAGAGAGTTTGTTTGATTTTTCTAAAAGAGAAGGTGCACTACATTTAGATGAATTCAAACACATGTAAGAAAATGCAACCACATCTTTGATGTATTAATTGAAAGGTACTTGGGTTCCTACTATGATCAAAATTATCAAAGATAGATTTGCTGAAATTGGAAAGGGATGGTTCAATATGAAAGAAACATCTAAAATAACATATGATTTTGGTAAATTGAAACGTATGTTAACAGTTATTAGGTTGATGATGCAAGACACAATTACAACACTTATGAAATCTAATTTCGATAGATATTAAAAAACTATTAAAAGCAATATACCTGTTAATGTTGATATTAAAAATACTGGATGGGTTTTGAATCAATATGATGATGGATATATGGCAGATAATAAAGTTCAAGTTTTTAGTCATGATAGAAAACTACCCTTATTTTAGATAGAATTATTAGCAAAGGATGATTTCTTCTAATTCACTACTAATCCTACTTTATATGTTTTAATATCCTTGTAAGCAATGAAAAAAGCAGTTGATGAAATGGCTAAGATACCAGATTTAGAACCAAGAATCTTGTCTGATTTACATAAATCTCAAAAACTAGAAACCTTTATTAAAGCTCCAATAATGCCAATCTAAGAACCTGTTGAACCAGATCCTAATGAAAGACCTAGAAAATTTGCAGATGAAAATAAATGGGTTTGGGATACTTACTATAGTGTTAAAGCATCTATTGAAGAAGCATTAAAACCATTAGAATAATACAAAACTGTTTTTAATAAATATATTCCAGTCTTAAAATTGAGACCAGATGATGTGGCAAGAGATATTGAATTAGAAGATCCTCCAAGAGAATTCGAATAGATTCGTGATGAAATAATTAAAGCTACTCAGAAGGAAAAATAATTAAATGAAGAAATACTTGATTCTATACATGTAGGAATGTTTGAAATTCATTTGAATGAAGCTAAAGGAATATTAATTGAAAGATACCAAGCACTTTAAAAAAATCTTATTGATCTTATTGCTAGAAGAGCAAGAAATACTAGTATTAGATTATTTCAAGAATTTGGGGATATCAAGAAGACAATACTTGAAGAACCTGATACAATAGAAAAGTTGACAATATTAAAGGAATATATAGGTAATTTACCATAGGAATTGGATAAAATGAAAATTAAAATGAATTAATTATTTGATGTATTTAAGATGTTAGAAGAATTCAATTACAGATTTCCATTGGATGATTTTTAAAGAAGATGGAAGATATTTGGAAGTCCAAAGGAAATAAAAGAGATGGTTGAAGTTAGAAATGGATAATTGGAGAAATTAAAAGTGAAATTCTCTGATGATGCTAAAGTTTAATAAGAAGATTTTAGAGAATAAATTGAAAATTTGGAGAGAACTATTCAAGAGTTTCATAAACATTAAGATGTTAGTAAGAATAAAGAAATGGCAGAAGTGGTTGAATATGTGATGAAATAAATAAGTGAATTTTAGGATTAAGCTAATAAATTCAATATGTAGGAAGCATTATTTGATAAACCTTAAACAGATTATTCTAAATTGAATTCTATGTCTAGGGAATTCAAACCTTATTATGATTTATGGTCTAGCACTTATAAATTTAAGAGTGGTATCAAATTATGGTTGAATGATGATTTTATGAATGTTGATGCTGATGAATGTGAAAAGATAGTTGAGGAAGGTGTTAAAAATATATAGACTGCTATGAGAACAATTCAAGTAACAGGTATACAAAAGATTGCTGAAGCTGTAAAAGCAGAAATTGATGAATTTAGACCAAAAGTACCATTATTATCAGCTCTTAGGAAAAAAGGTATGACTGTAAGACATTGGACATAGGTATCTTAATTGAAAGGTCTAGATCATGTTATTAATCCTGAAGAATAGGGATTCTGTTTTTAAACAATTTTGAATAGTGGATTTATGGATGTTATTGATAAAGTTGTTAATGTTGGAGAAACTGCAAGTAAAGAATACTAAATAGAAATGATGCTTGATAATATGCTTAATGCTTGGGAGAATATTAAATTTTAATGTGTTCAATATAAAAACACATTTATTCTTAAAGGATTTGATGAAATTTAAATTGTATTAGATGAACATATTATAAATACTTCAGCAATGGTATTCTCACCTTTTAAGAAATTCTTTGAAGAAAGAATCAGTGAATGGGATAAGTCATTGAGAAAGATTCAAGATATATTAGAAGAATGGGCAAAATTTTAGTAATAATGGATGTATTTACAACCCATATTTGATTCACAAGATATTGCTAAATAATTGCCTGCAGAAACCAAGAAGTTTAAGACTGTTGATTAAACATGGAGAACTACAGTTACATAAGCTAAGGCTAAAGAGAAAGTATTAGATGTTTGCATAGAAGATGGATTATGGGAAAGATTACATGAAGCCAATAAGACATTGGAAATGGTTCAAAAAGAATTAAATAATTATTTGGAAAAGAAGAGAGAGAAGTTTGCTAGATTTTACTTTTTATCAAATGATGAATTATTAGAAATTTTATCATAAACTAAAGAACCAACAGCAGTATAACCTCATCTTAAGAAAGTATTTGAGAATATAAATTCAATTGAATTTGATAAGGATAAGAAAATTCATGCTATGTATTCTGCAGAAAAGGAGAAAGTTCCTTTTGTAAAAATAGTGGATCCAAATAAAAAGAATGTTGAAGAATGGATGAATGAAGTTGAAAATATGATGAAATTATCAGTTAGATAAGCATTAATGGTTAGTATTGAAAATTATACATAAATAAATAGAGAAGAATGGGTTTTGAAACATCCAGGTTAATGTGTATTGAATGGATCATAGGTACATTGGACTAAAGAAGTAGAAACAGCCATTGATGGATAGAATTTAAAAGGATATTTTAAAAAATTGGAAGAACAATTAGGATCCTTAGTTGATTTGGTTAGAACTAAATTATCAAAATAAGCTATGGTTACTATAAATGCATTGATTGTTATAGATGTACATGCAAAAGATGTAGTATAGAAGATGGTGGATAGTGAAGTATATGATAAGTTTGCATTTGAATGGATATCACAATTAAGATATTATTGGGAGAATTAATAAGTAGATTTTGATTGTTGGGTAAAATGTGTATAAACCAATTTCCCATATGGTTATGAATATCTAGGAAATACATTGAGATTAGTTATTACTCCATTGACTGATAAATGTTATATGACATTAATGGGTGCATTAAGATTGAATTTGGGAGGAGCTCCAGCAGGTCCAGCTGGTACTGGTAAAACTGAATCAACAAAGGACTTAGCAAAAGCTTTGGCAAAATAATGTGTGGTGTTTAATTGTTCAGACTCTATGGATTTTATTATGGTTGGTAAGTTCTTTAAGGGATTAGCATCAGCTGGTGCTTGGGCTTGTTTTGATGAATTTAATCGTATCAATATTGAAGTGTTATCAGTCATTGCTTAATAATTGTTAGTTTTATTTGGAGAAAAAGCTAAAGGAACTCCTTAAGTAGAATTTGAAGGTTCATTTATTAAAATTTTACCTACATTTTCAGTGTTTATCACTATGAATCCTGGTTATGCTGGAAGAACAGAATTACCTGATAATTTAAAGGCCCTTTTTAGACCAGTGGCTATGATGG